TGAATACCAAGTAATCTCTAGATTTCCACTGTTTGTTAACTCATATCATTCATGCATATGCATACATATGCATACATTTAATCTTTATAACGACTGTATTCTCAGCACTGACTTAGATTTCCTTTTCAATACTCTGTTATTTTACATTTTCAGTTGTTCTCGCTATCTCTGTTTAATTATTGTGAATACCTGCTGCATTCAGTTCCTTGTCTGTCGAATGGCAAACATATCTTGCGAGTATCTTATTTCCTAGCCCTTGATCAAGTATTTAGTAATGCTCTTGGGATTGGTACAAGGAATATATATAAATATATATATTGTGTCATATCCGTTATTCACCACCTAGTTAATGGTTTATTAGGAGAAAGGACTGAAGGATAAGGAGAGCTACAAAACGGAAAAAGTTGAATGCAAGAGTATCTGGGATTGCATAAAGAAACATAGCTAAAATAAGTAGTTATGCATTAGGATAATACTTTTTTTGACATAACCCATTAGGATAATACTAATTATAAAAAAAGTTATTTTTTTAAATAATTATTAAATTTATATATTTATAAATATTTTATAAGTTACATTATTTTATATGTATTGTTAATTAAGTAAATATGAATGGAGGTTAAGTAAAATTTTTTTGGCAAAATGTTTATTGCTCATACTTTGCTGGAAGCACTGGGCTTTCCATACAATTTTCAACACTTTTCATTGGTGTGTATGGGTTTTTGGCAAAATGTACACCAAAAGTTTTCCCTTCTATCTGTTCCTAAAGTTAAGTTCTCAGAGCGACTCACCTCCTTTGTTTGTTGGCGAGGTTTGAAACTTCGTGAGATCATGTATGAACTATCAATGGAACATGATTTTAGCATAAGCTCTCTTCTACTTTTCTCCATTTTTATAATAGATTTTACCTCATTGAGTCTTGGTATTTCCTCTTTTTTCAAGATCAACATTCATACTTGATCGTATTTGAGATTTAGTCCTACCAAAAATTGACATGCAGGATTTTTTTTATAAATTTCTTAAGCCAAGCTGCATTTTTACTACAATCTATGGTAAAACTGTAGTACTAATCCAGTTCCTGCCATCAATTTCTTAACAAGTTAGAATATTCATTTACTGACATGTTCTCTTTTTTGGTGAGCTGTCTTAACCATGAGGTCATAAATTTGTGTGGCATCCTTAAAGTTTGAGTAGGTTTTACCAATTGCATCCCATATTGCTTTTGTTGTGGACAGAAACATTACAGTCTTATTTATTTTTGGAGCCATAGAGTTCCATAGTCATATCATGATCATAGAGTCCCCTTCATCCCAGGTATTAAATCTGGGGTCTCCTGGTTTTAGTCCGGTATCCAAAAGATAGTTAGTTTGCCTTTACCTTTCAGGGTAGTTCCAACTAATTGAGACCAGCTTAAATAATTTTTGCCCGTAAAACGATAGATCGCCTGGATTGGCTAAAATTCACTGATAGGATATCTTGTATAGGAATATATTCTAGTATTTTAGAATGTTACCTCCGATATCCTTTAAAAATTGTATGCTAATTATGTCAAAAAGAAAAATTACAGGAGGAATGTTACCCGAAACACAAGTGCTAACGTCATGCAGTGGCAGGTTGAAGCAAGGCAGCAGCTAGCTAGAGCAATGGCAAAAAGGGCAGTGGCTGGCTGGAGCAAAGCCGTGGAACAAAGGCGGCTAACACAGGGACATAACACGTACGAACCAGAAGTCACAGAAATTTTTATGGTTTAGGGTTTTCACGAATCATCTAGACTATGCACAAAGGTCCAAAAGCGTGTCAGGATAGAGGTGCGGCAAAGGCAGAGGCATGGCTACAACTTTGCGACTACAGGAGGCGCGGCCGAGGGCAACCCAAATGTCTAGATAGTGCTTCACATCTGAGCAAGATGAGCAGAACCACGTCGCAATAGAGATAGTCACTTCTGGTCATAAGGGGTCACAATTGACGGCGTCGCGTCTAAGTCTAATGTTTGTGTCTGTCACACGTACATCTAGACGCGATAGAGAAGGACGGGATAAAGGGTTCTAGCAACTAAGACGTAAGGTTTTGGCAAGACGAGGCTGCAACAAGGATGTAGAGTTTTGGTGACAACGACGAGGTTGCGGCAATTTAGGGTTCTAGTGCCAGCTACGAAGGCTAGCTTTGTTGCTACTGATCTACAGCGGTCATCTATGAAAGTTTTCTTTTCTATTTCGAGAATGAAGGCTGAATAGAGTTTGTAACTGAGGCTACTTCTTCAACCTAGGGTTCTAATACAATGTTAAGAATAGTTTGATGTATCTTCTAGTAAATATTATATTCCAATATATACAGATTTTCTATAATGAAAAAAGAAACAGACAATTAATTACAAATAGTGTAATCTACCTTTATATCCTTTAACCTAATTTATCCTTTCTATAACACATGTATATGAGTAGGTTAGTAGGTTAGGAATATTAGATTATCTGTAGGTTAGTAGGTTAGTAATATTAGATTTCTTGTTTCTGACTTGCTTTTCCCAGGTTGCTAAACAAGGCATGCCTTCACTTTATCAAGAATCCTTAAGAGTTAAGGGCAATGCTTGGATGTTCACAAAATAAATGCAGAGAGATAGTACCGGAGATGGTGTCTGAAGAGAATTTGATCTTGAAGAGACCATTTACGTACAAAACACAGGAATCTAGTTTTAACTATGAGTAGTATTATGTGTATGGTTAGTAAGTCACAGATCTACATTTTGGTCTAAATAATGTATTAACTAAAGAAATCAAGATACTTCATTTTCAGTATGTATAAATTTGATTAAATAAAACATTTCCATTTTGATGTAAAAATCGAGATACTTTGTTAATATTATAATTTAATAGTTAAAATACTTAACTTTATTACTTACTAATTTATTATTATTAATTTCAAAACCATTGTTTTCGAGGGCATTTTCTACTATTCCGGCAAGTTTCTGCCATTTCAAGTACTGAAGCATGTCGCCAAGCATTTGTTGTACCTGATTGCTTCTAGATTCTTCAGGCACTTGAGCACCTTTTTTTGACATTTTTGATATGTTTTTAAGCCTTTTGGGTACACTGGCACACTTTTATGAATTTCTGCTATTCGAGCACATTTTAGACATCTCGAGTCCCCAAATGCATCTCTAGGCATTTCGAATACATATGCATGTTTCTACGTATTTTGGGTACCTGAACACGTCACTTAGGGTACTCATACGGTTTTAAATATTTCAAATGAGTGTGTTTCTAGTCATTTGACTAATTGAGTCCACTTTTGAGTTCTGTATTGGTAATAAAAAACGAAAAGGATGGTTAGATAATCTTATAAAGAATTAATCATTATCCAAGTACACCTTTTATATTCATTTCTAACTACCAAACATGTTAAATAATTTTTTCTTCATTACTTTCTCTTATATTTTTTTTAGCATCTAAACAAAGGAAAGGAAATAGGATATCCCTTTCTTTCCACACCCTTTACTTTCTTTTCTCTCTCCTCCAAATCACAAACATAGCCTAACTGTCATAACAATTACTTGAAAGCTTGTTTCTTCTTCTAAATGACCAACACACTGACCCAATAAGGAAAACATACCACTGTTAAGGAAATAAAAATATATAGAAGTAAAAAGAATAAGAAAACGTACTACCATGACCATCTCTATGATGGTGATGATGATGGTCTGTAGAAGGGGTTTCTCCATGAACTGTGGATTCAATTCTGTAAAATCCAAGTGATTTCCGTGTAAGCAAAGATCAGATTTCTAAATACAGCTTCAGATGTTGACAATTGAGAAGCTTAAATACATTTACAAATACAATTTCTAAATGAGAAAGAAGAAATATCCAAGCATTAAAATAGTAGCTCAAAAATTAACAGACAGGAACCTGTCTAGATCATATCCTCCCACTCCCAAAACAAAGTCCATGTCAACAATCCCATGTTTAGCTAGTTTGATTGGCGCCATGCAATTAATATGCTGCCAACATTGCATCAAAAATACAAATTTCAATCTTAAAAACCAACTATATGGAAATAAAAAGAAAAAGAAGATACTATAGAATATAGTAATACCAACGACTTGCATATCCCAATAATGGTCTCAATCGTATTTGTTCCCCCATCATTAAGTACCAAGAATAATTGGTCTTGTTGAATCAGTCTGAACTAATTATTGGATACGTTTACAATTAATTTAGAAAATACCTTAATTAACATACAAAAATCAATGACTTCACAAAACATATGAAGATTTCTTCCTCCTCTGGCCTCAAATAAATTATTATTTCAAAGGAAAAAAGGGTGCACATCCTACCATCTTCTCTCTATTCCTAAACCCCCAATCCATGTAAATATCACCTTCTTTCTTTTATCATTAGTCTGAAACCAAAAATAGAGTTCATACACACCAAAAGTTCATACCTTAATTCTCTCGGTCAAGACCTCCAAATCAGCCTCAGTTACCAGATCAATCTGCCAAAACAAATTAAAAGTTAAAAATTAAAAATTTTAATTGTGGTTACTCAGAGGATATCTTTCTATTATCTTCATTACGAAAATAGGTGCTACAGTTGATAAACCACATAGCAAGGATTGGAAATTTAGTTATTGCTGTTTGGTTAAAAAATTTACTTCCTAAATTATTCTTCCACTAAGTGGCTTGATTTTGTTAGGATGACACTACTTTGGAGAAAAGAACAGCTTTGAACACTTAAAAATCTGGAATGGTACAGATGTCTAGAAACACTCGTCCTCGAGCCCTTTTCATTGTTTCCATAATTGGTATTTCATCAACTCCTCACCAACTGGAACATTATAGGTTTCCACAAGCACTTGACTACAAAGGGCAGGTTCATCTCAGCTAGGGATCTAATGGCAAGACCCTTAACCTCACCCATGACCAACCTTTTCACTAGGTAACAAGACACAAGATGATAACACCTCTTATCATCTTAATATCCCCAAAGAAAGCGCCATTGTAGAGCCTCCACCTCTGTCCAACCTACAAATTAAGAATGAGTCAACAGTGAAAACAAATGAAATATCTCCTTGTTCCTCTTTCCACCCCCGATCTCAAGGCTATAGATGAAACATGCTCCTTGACCGTCAAAACCTTTCTATAACCTAAACAAAGGGAAGTGGAGCGAGAGAATCCCTTCGCAGAAGACCACTAGATGAAGTGAAGAACTTCGTTCGCCCACCATTAATTAACATCGCACGAGGAACCTCTACCCAAAACCCATCTGCCTTAAGAGGTACCCAAGGAAAGACCACGAGACTGGTCATAAGCTTTTTCAAATCTATGTTATACATTAAAAATTTCTCTCTAGACTCAAAGGCTACACTAACTTCTTTGTTGATGAAAGGTAGCATCCAAAATGTGATGTCAAGCCACAATGGTGGGATTTCCACCACAAGCTCACCAACCATCATGATCAGCCTTATCTTTAATCAAAGACGTCCTCTATATATACCTCCAAGCAATGTCCTCTATCAACATCTGATTAGTGAACTCTACCTTAGAGTCGATTATCTTCTATCATGCTCATTAGCTGAAACACTCACCTTATTTTACTTCATTTCCAAACACCAAGTTTTTTTGTTAAATTCTTCATAACTACTGGCTTATTACAAAAATAGATAGAACTTGACTCAACCTCGGATCGACATCATTGAACTTTTTAACCTCTCTAAAGCTTGTGAAGCCCTTCACTTGATCCTCACTCCACTCGCTTTCTACCAACTCCAGAAACCTTGCATTATCAACCATTTATGTTCAATAAAGCCCTTCAAGCCTAAGCATAAAGAGTAAAGATTGAAAGTGAATCTTGGAAGCAGCTTTTAACTCATATGCAGCTATCTCTCCTCTAAGTTAGGCAATACCAAGAACCTACCAATGTGTGAGAAGGTGTTAGACCAAGGCCTGCAGCCCCCAACCAACGGCAGGTTGATGAACTTAAGCTTATCCAAAACCTCTAAATTTCCCTATAGCAAACTCTTGATAGTTGCTTAAAGATCTTTCATAATGAGAGAGAGAGAAAGAGAGGGAAAAAAAAAGAAAGCAACATGTTAAAATCACCACATATGACCTAGGGCACACGACCTCACTTTTTTTTATATGCGCTAAGATCGTCCTAAATCAGATGCCTCCTTCTCCCTTCCCATAAATCTCTATGATTAAAAGAAGCTCCATCACTTTTATTTTTTAAGCTCATTGGTCAGTCAGTGACAGTAAACCTCCCAAACTACACATAAAATCCAATTTGCTCTAATTCCACAAGATTAAAATATCTCCTAACGCCCCATCAAGTGGGTGATCACTCCAACCTATCTCGCTGCCTCTTCAAATGCTCCTCTTATCCTCTTCTCCGTTTTCTCCCAGTGCTTTTATCTCTTCCCGTTTTGGCCCTTGTTACCGTGGAGACTAGCAGAGGATCCCCTCTGCCTCCTAAGTTATACAGCAATGAAGAGTGTGAAAGCTTGTTGCTCAAGACCTTCCACAGCCACAGTGCAAAGCCTCAGCAACTTCATTATGCTGTTTCACTAAGGCTAACATCCACTTTCTATAAATGTTTTCTTCCTCTTTGTCTCTCCGCATTGCCTCATTACCTGCTCGCTACACTTCTACCAAATTAATTGGGCCATCCCCATCAACTTCCAATATTGCGTAAAAGATTAGAGGAAGACAAAGAATTTAGATTGGGAAGGGGATGATCATTGATTGCAAGTGCAGAATCAGTGTCTATACCAACCATACATTCATTGACTATGGACAGCAGTTTGGTCTGCCTTCACTAAAACAACACTCCTGAAGGCCATTCAAAGAAGAAGATGATATGAAGTCTGTTATATCTTCAATTCACAAATGATAGAACTATTTGCACTTTTCACCTTGAAATTAATTTCCTTCTAGGAGGCTATGAGAAAACTTTTTCCCCTTTATTAGCAACGCATTTACCTTTCTATTGGATTGTCCAGTTTAGATATGTGCTTAAAAGAATTAAGCTCATTTTTTAGACCCAGTTTCTCTCAGAATTCCTACCCAAGATGATTTTTGAACTTCATAGAGCCAGCAGCTTGCAATCAACTTTTTATGCAAAATGGATACATAAGAACTTTTTACTTGTGCTGATTTTCAATTGGGTTCAACAAGCAGAATAACAAACAGCAATTGTTTCTTTTTCTTTCTAGTCTCACAATTTAACAATCACAAGAGTCGAAGCCATTGGAAATCCATCCTCTGATCAGCACAGTTCAGCAAAAGCTACCTTTTTCCTTTCCTGGGTTAGATCACAACCACGTCCACCAGCTATTCACCCTCAGTGCCCTTTGGAATTAGAGATCTCCTAACACCTTCGATGTTGTTTTCCTGAATTAGAGATCTACTCCAAGAGTTATACCCCCCTACCTAGAAAAATATGCAAAAAGCTCTAAAGGGGGGTCTATTATTTCCAAGCCGAAAGATAGAAGACTCATTTCTTGGCCCCATTTTATGTGATCTGGGGAATATCCTATACTCCAATTCTCTAAAACCATAGCTAAAGTCTTTCTTTCTATCACCAAGATTTTTTTTGGTGATAGAAATCGCATTATGAAGAGACAACATACTAGCCAAGATGATGGGACTGAACCCAACGTAGAAAGGATTTCCTCTCATGTCATAAAGAAAGTAGTTGGCAATGTAATTGGAACATAAATAAGGTTCAGTAGAATAGAGATCAAATAAGAAAAAAACAACTTTGCAATTGAAGGAAAGAGATCCTAGATTACTTTATTCAAAATTATACGATCAGCATAAGCAACTTGTTCAACCGTCTCATTCACTACGAATCGTGGTTTCACTTCATTTAAATGTTTCATAGCATATTTAGAATCAACTAGAGTAACAACGCCATCCAGCTTGACATATTGTGAACCACTTCATCATTACAGAAGTTTCGATTACCGGAGGTGGGCCTAGCAGACCTGAAAGATTATAATAGTCAGCTGATATATGTATGCAACTTCAATAAACTTGCAAGGGCATTGCTCCTAATGGTATTTAGGTAAATATTAGTAAAGAAATGGAAAGAAAGTAACTAGAAGGTAAACAAAGATTTTTAAAGAAAAAAAAATCTCTTTTTTGAAAGAAAGAGATGATAGTATAATCAAGGGCACCAAATAGGTGCCATCATACAGGAAAAAGTGAGATATTACAAAAGGGATAAGCCAAAATGTCAATAAAGTTCCCAAGATCTTCTCCATTTTGGAGAGACTGACCTTAAAATATGTAACAAATCTAGAACCAAAAATATCTAAGTGTAAAAAAGTTAGATTCAAAACCCTGAAAAATGTAGTACGCTATTGATGTTTGTGTTAGGTTGGGCTTTTACGTAATTTGCTTAAAGTTTGATATTATTGGAGTTTTATTAGCCATAACAGTGGAAGAGGAAAGAGCAAAGGATTTACTATTAGTTCTGAAGATTTACAATTTTGGAAATAATTAATTTCAATTTAGTAATTCTGAAAATAATTAATCATTTATATGTGAACTTATCTTTTTATAAACTACGTGTAATGTATTAGTAGTGTTATGCAAGCATAAGTCTTGATTAAGACAAAGGTAATTAATAAATTCTGAATAAGAAGAAAACTTCCAAAAAAATAACAAGCTTATCATTTCATGTTAATACATGTAGAACCAATGTCACTGGACAGATTATTTATGAGAAATTTCCATCAAATAATTGAGTACTTTAAACTCTAGAGATCTTTGGATTCTCTCTTGATGAGCTCATACTTTTAGTTCAAAATAAGAAAGGAATGAGAACACAAAATTAACCTTTAATTCCTACTGATATCTACATGAATAGACCCCCCACTCGATCTATCAGTATGGAACTTAAAAATTTGGTATCAACGCCCAAAGTTATGAGTAATCTACATTCAACATTTGAATCATTCATGAAAGCATACCACGATGATCGTGAACAAGATCATCTGAAATTTGAAATTCTGGCTGGCAGCATTGAAGAACTCTCTTCAGGCAGATTGACTGCATTCATCCAGAAGATCAACAGCACGGAATGCAGCCACCACAGTTTGACTGCAATCATCCTTCCATTCCGCACTATACCAAAACGGATTTTCCTTGTTATGATGGCTCTTTAGATCCTCTTCCATGGATCGAACGATGTGAGCATTTTTCCTGTCACCAATAAACAGTTGGAAGAAGAAAAAGCCGCCTTGGCTTATTTCACTTGAAAGAAGAAGCACAATTTTAGTTTTTAAAGTTAGAAAGGAACTGACTAACACTAACTTGGGAGGGATTTAAACAATTCTATCATCTGCAATTTGGTCTCCCAATTCAGAGCAACACGTTGGCAAACTCAGCAAACTTCATCAGCGCAGAACAATCGCTAGATATTAACAGCAGTTCGAATTTCTTTCTGCCTAGGTGAGTGCACTTACTTCTGAACAGGAAGTGCAAATTTCTGTCAATGGCCTAAAGGAACATATAGCCATTGAAGTGTAACTTCAAAATCCACATGACCTCACAACAGCATTCCCCACCGCTCATCCATGAAAACACCGTCAATCGTGAAAGTTTCGAGTCCCAGGACCCCCAACACTCCCTTTTGTTCCTCTGTCTCGCACCCAGTTGTATGGCACCTGTCGGCGGCAGAAATGGAACAGAGGTGTGCATAGGGACAATTTTAATTGCAATGACAAGTTTGAACCAGGTCATCAATGCAAAAAGCTTTTTTTGGCTTGAAGTCAAGGTTCCTTCTTTGAATCAAGTTGGAAGTTACGAAGAGACCCTAGAATGCAACCACAGATGCGTCACCAGCAAACAGAAATTTCCCTACATTGTTGCTGATCAGTTCGCCTTTGTTCTTCACCTTTCGTGCTTGAGGACAAGCACAATTTTAGGGTTGCGATATTATAAAGCAATAACAATGGAAGAAGAAAGAGCAAAGGACTTGCAATTCTGGAGACCTATAATTCTGGCAATATTTAATTTAAATTTAGTAATTCTGAAAATAATTAATTATTCATATGTATACTGTTTTTCATAAAGTATGTGTTTTGTATTAGTAGTATTATGTAAGTCTTGTGTAGGAACAACTCTAGATTGAGACAAAGGTAGTTAGTAAATTCTCAATAAGAAGAAACCTTCCAAAAAATAACTACCTTATCTTTTCATGTAATAAATGTAGAACTGCCATCCTTAGACAGATTATGCATGAGAAATTTCTATCAAAAAGTTGAGTACTTTAAATTTCAGGAAACCATTATGTTCTCTCTTAACGAGCTTACATCAAAATAGGAAAAGGAAGAACACAAGAACAGCCTGTA